GCATTTCTGCAAAGGCCCCGAGGGCAGAACTGAAAAATGCAGTATTTGAAAGTGGCGCCTGAATTGCAGCATGGCGCCATTTGTCCAAAATCCTACGGTACCAAAGGAGGGGTTTGGAAAAAGGGTGCCAGGCCGAAAACGGGATGCAGCTGAAACAGCAAAAGATAGACCAGGGATCGAGCCCTGGCGGAGTCCGTAACACTGTGAGCTTTCATTGTGCATGTTGTGTGGAGAGTGAATCTGAGCGGTTCATTGCACCCCTATTGAGAACATCTTGATGAAATGCTGAAGTTTTCTCACAGAATGTAAATGTTTCTCCTTCAAGGCTTCAACAATAACATTTACCACTGGCTGTCATTTACCATGGGCTTGTGCCCTGGTTCTGAACCACAAACAGGTTTGGTGCCGATCCCTAAGAGAAATTAGGGGGGTACTCACTGTACGGACACACTGGGCATGAGCAATGAAGCAAAGGAAAACCAATGGAACCAAGAGAAAAAAAAAAGGAAAGTACTGATAATGCCACCAATAGATAGGCGTGAAATAAAAAAAGAAATGTGTGTGTGTGTGTGTGTGTGTGTGTGTGTGTGTGTGTGTGTGTGTGTGTTATAAGCTTCCCCCACAAGTGTGTGTGTGTGTGTGTTATAAGCTTCCGCCACGTGTGTGTGTGTGTGTGTGTGTGTGTGTGTGTGTGTGTGTGAGAGAGAGAGAGAGAGAGAGAGAGAGAGAGAGAGAGAGATTGATGGTGGTTGATGTTGTGTGCAGGTGAGAGGGACATGTCTTTGCAGTGACATGAGGATTGCGTCTGCTTCTCGAGACAAGACCGTGAGACTATGGTCACCTGTGGATGGGGAGAGGGGTGGTTACGAGCTTGGTGCGGTGATGGTTGGTCATGCTGGTTTTGTTGGCCCGGTGGCATGGATGTCGCCCAATGAAGATCTACCAAACGGAGGACTAGTTACCGGTGGAATGGATGCCCGTGTCATTGTATGGGACTGCGGGACGGCATCGTTGGTTCAAGATCTGAGGGGCCATGAGTTGCAAGTCACAGGTGTTGCTGTGCAAGAAAATGGAGACGTAGTGTCCTGTTCTATCGACAAGTAAGCATACGACCGCCAATTGTGCATCGTAGATTGTAAGCCGTAAATTGTAGCCTTGACAATAGCAAGACCGAAAAGAAGTCCGGAGAACTGTGACACAGAGAAACTCTGTGGATCTTGGATGGGAAAGAAGTTCGGTGTAGGGTTTCCTGAGTTCCTCACTTATCACAGAAACCTAAGGCCGCCAGGTGCGTATCAACAATAAAAGTGGCGTTACACAGCAGGGTACACTCACTCTTTTTTTCCTCGAAACCTTGGCCACCGCTCACTAAGGGGGGTGATATGAGCGCCTCCTCGTAGAAGCCTTGACACAGGGTGCTCTGGTCTATGGTGGGGAGTAGTGTCACCTGCTCGCACCTGGTCTAGATAACACTTTTATATGTTGTCTGTTAAAGTAACTTATTGAGAATTCCATAGTCTCCGTCCAGGCTGGTAGCGTTGATTGCCCTGGCAATGGCTGTGGATTGATCAACCGTGCCTCGGGGGGGGGGGGGGGGGGGGGGGGGGTAACATCATTCCAGCCTCTTTAGCCTGTTGACCGCCAGATGGAAAGTAGTGTCACACAGTTAAAAACTTTGAAACTTTTCCGCCTCCTTTGTTTCACTGTATGCAGTCGCAGATAGCCAGGAATGCCCTAGTGTGAGGATTCCCTTATAGATTCTGTGGTCCTCTAGCGAGCAAAACTGCCCAGACGTATGAATGCGATTAAGTTGAATGAGAAAAATTCAAAAAAATACCTTTTTTGAAGTTTTTTTTTTTTTTTTTTTTTTAAGGGGTAAAGTTGAAATTTGAAACCCTGGTCCCTTACATATATGAAGTTATGAACCATTCGTTGAATGATTGTTCTTATCGTCCGGATGAGGGAATCCGTTGCGCAGCAACATTACTGACAGTCTGCAAAAATCTGATGAGACAGCTTGGGCCATACTACCTTCCTTTGGTTGCATCAGATCATGGGAAAGTTGCTGTCACTGTAAACAGGTGTCTGCAATGCGTGGACAATTGCACAATTGCAGTTTGACAAATCTGCACTTTTCTGAGAGAAAAAAGTCTTTTTTACAGCTTGTTGCTGAGATTTCCGAATATCTGTGTGTTTTGCTGTGTTTCTAAGTATATATGTGGCCTGCTGATGACTTATGTGTGCCATGTGCTGGCCTCTTGGCTCGAACTCCGAGTGTGTGTGCTACCTTAGTCGGTCGTGCTGCGTGTCTGTGCTCAGGACAGAGGTAGGATAACAAGTAAGTGTAGGCTCAGGGGCAGGGCTGAAAGTTAGCAATGGGGGACGTGCCAATTTTAGTAGGTCGGCCAGGGATATAAGCAGAGGAGTTTTTAGGGACCCGGTAGGGATATCGCACTAACTTGGGTAGGCCAGGAGATGTCTGGTCGCTTTCAGTAGGTCATGATCATCCAGGCCCTAATGTCGATAGATTTAGAGGGGGGATTCAGGTCCTGAAGGTTGATATTAATGCGCGATGATGTTCCTGCCAAAAGCAGGAGCATCTGTAGGCCTTGTGCACTGGAAGTGCGTGGCCAAGGGAGGCCAGGTAGAGGCAGGAAGTGCGAGTACGAAGAGGTACTGGAAGCTGGGCAGCAAGAGTTTTATTCAGTGCAATGAATTAGTCCAGGCATTCACTGGGCAGTCGTGCTGCTTACTCCGCCCAGAGGGGGAGTGGGCCGGAGCACAGGGGTGAGCTGAGGGTGAGGAAGAAGACATCCATGGCTGTGGAGGAAGAGAGAAGGCTGAGGCTACGGAGCTGAGGTGGAGTTAGAGGAGGCGGAAGGATGTGTGAACCGGTGAGGCAACTTACCTTTGGCTATGATCTTCCTGGTTGGCGCAAGGCGTCCCCAGCTGGGCTATCGGTTGGACGTGGAGTTCATCCGGAGGCTGGCTGTGGTAGTGGTAGGGGGGAGAGGCATAATAGTAGTTGCAATCGCCGTCCTTTGAACGTCCGTGCTGGGATGAGCCGCCATTGCGAGATGCAATATCAAGTGCGGGGGAGAGTGAAACGAGGCTAAAGGTGAGCTCTCTCTGCACTGGCAGTAAGGGGGATCATTTGGACATTGATTCTTGTTCATTCATTTGCGGGCACCCAAGGTCCTTGCAGCAGACAGCAGAGGACTGGCAGGCGCTGGGCTCAGGCCCACTGGAGTAAGACATGGTGCCAAGGGTTGGAACTGGGCAGGCTGTCCGGGACCCAGTATGGCAAGGTGAAAACCGTAACACTCCAAAAGACAGTGCCAACCGGCTGAACAGAAGACTGCCCAAAGTCCGTAAGGAAGGTGGGGGCAAGTCAAAGATGCGTTGGTTGGAGGGGCTGTTGAAGAACAGACCGCTGGGTGCTCACAGTGAGGCGCACTACATTCTTCACCCGAATACAACGTACGGTCATTATCACTGTATCTAGACTCAAAGTTGCCTCAAATACAGCTATAATGACGGTACGTCGTATTCGGGTGAAGACTGTAGCAGGAGGAAGGAGTGGCTTTAGCCGACAGTCAGCACCAGCAATAGCTGGACTGTGGGAGAAGACGAAGGCCGGCGCCATGACAGTTTGAGGCGGGCACCAGGGAAGAAGGCTGCTGCCATGGCACTTTGGGCGCTGGGAAGAAGGCAGGCGCGGGCTGGGAACTGGGGAAGAAGACCGGTGCCATAGCTGTGCATTGCCGAAAAGGAAGAAGGTGGCGATAAACAGGGAAGATCCTTGGGGAAAAGGAACCTGTGGAGATGGGAAGAGTTGGAGGTACTCACCTGGTGGTCGGTAAGCAGGAGGAGCTCCAACGTGGCAGACTCTTCAAGGGGATTATGCTGCATGGCTCAGTGTACAATAGGATGGAGTAGATGATAGAGTAGGTGGTCGCTTAGGCTGGTACAGAGACTGTCGAGAGCCTATAATTTCTATGGTTGTTGAAATTGATTGCTGGAGGCTCGCAATGGGGCTTTCATCGTCAAGATACCTCAACAGTGTGATAATAAAGCCTCACATAGTTGGGTTTTTGTAATCATCTCAAGAGTGTAGGTTGTTGCGTTCGTGTGATCATTTTCTCTGTTAATTCTGCTGATTGCCGTATTGCGGTGTGCATGTTGGTCAATGAGAGTTTGTGGTGGGTGTGGTCTGATTTTCACCGCAGGGCAGGTTCCTTGCATTTGATCTTTGTAGTCCTTCGTTAATAAGAGGGAGGAGGTGATTTTGTGAGGGCGATGATGATGGTGAGAGGAGGGAGATGGCATGGGTTCAAGAACGTCAAGCCCGTGTTATTCTTCTCCCTCTTCTTGTCTTCGTTCTTCTCCTCTCCTGACCTCGTTCACTTCTTCTCGAGTTGTGACGAATGGCATTGTCTCAGAGTTGAGTCTTGCTTCATGAAATGGACAGGATCATACTATCATAGCATTTCATATAGCCTCCTGACGAGTCGGTGGAACTCTAAACCACGAGTACACGGCCCCCTGCTTTGCAGTCCGAAACTCGTCGCCACAAGGAAACGACTCCAAGGCCGAAACGTCGAACGCTGGGCCCACAGTTGACGAATTCAATCGGCGGCCCCGTTTTTGTTTCGCGCCTCCAGAATTCGAGGTGTCAGACCCGCGGCCCAGGTGCCCATGTACGGGTGGTTTAGGAAAACGGTCTGTCACAGGCTCACAGCCCCTTGTCTCTTGTCCTCTTCTCCCTTTCTGCCATCGGTCCCAGGGCAGTTCTCTCACACTGTATTTATGTATAGCCATGCCACATGCTCCTCTGAATTGTGGATGCTACCTTCTTCGCTCGAATACAGCGCGTGGTCATTGTAGTTGTATTTGGCGTATCTTTCAGTCTAATTACAGCAATAGTGACCATACATTGTATCTGGATGAAGAAGGTAGTGTTTTCACCTTCATAATCCTGCAGAGGTAAATAGAATGCATGGTAATGGTTGATGGCATAGGCATTATGGATGTATTTTAGTCACCCCACCGCTACCTCTGGGTGTAAATTGTGTGTGCGTGTGTGTCCGTGTCCGTGTCCGTGTCCGTGTGTGTGTGTGTGTGTGTGTGTGTGCAGGCGTGTGCGTGCGTGTGTGTGTGCGCGCTTGCTGACACTGTGAATGATTTCCTGTTATTTTGAAATGGGCAGGACTTTGCGGGTGTGGAGAAAGGGAGTGTGCAAAGAGGTGCTGCAAGGGCACGATGGGCCTGTGCTTTGTGTTTGCGTCCTCCCTACAGGGGAAATTATCTCAGGTCGGTTACGGGAATCCCAGTGTGTGCTCCGAAAAGGCAGAGGCATTGCTGGATGATACAGTGGTGAAGGAAATCTATGCTGAAGTTAAGATGGAAAATCTTCCAAAAAAATTGGAGAACTTTGAAAAATCATAATCTGTTACCAGATTAGACCTACAAAGTTGTGTGAACGAGTCATTTAATCTTGCTGGGAAAGCGCCATTCTTAATAGTAAATATTGAAACAGAATTTGTATAAGTAGTAAGATACTATAAAAATGCTAGAATTAGTAATTACTAATTAGTTGATTTGGTGTGGGTTTATAAATTGCATTGAGGGTCTGTAGGCAAAGGTAGGTCTGTGAACACCATTTCATCTTGGTGGGACATCAGTGTAATACATTACTAAATTTAGTAATAAATACTAATAAATTAATAATACTAGCAATTTAGTAAATGTGTTATAACTTACAAATTAGATGTAGATAGTAGATACTAAAATGATAAAATCGGTAATTATAAAGATGTAAAAGAAGTTAAAAAAACTGCACAATAAACTATTATAATTTCTCCATAAAATGTACGTGTTAGTCTAAAATAATATTATAATTTCTGTAAGCTAATGTGAGATTTATCAGTTACTAAATTAGCATAATTTAATGAGAATTACTAATTAGCCATCATATATTTTTTGAGTAAAATTGTAATGAACCCTGTCTGGCAGATACTCAGAAGTCATCAAACATCAATAGTCTCATTATCTGCATCAAGGTCTCCAAATCGTGAAGTGAAATCTCAAACAGTATCTCATTACCATCAAAAGAAGAGAGTGGAGAGGGAATAGACAAAGGAGAAGATGAGAGATCACACAGTAATAATCCCTTCAGACCCCTGTTCTTCTCCGGGCTTCTTCCCTCTCCACATCAACAATGATAATAAGTATACTCCTGATCACACACAATAGTGCCACGTGGCACTTTATCTCGTGAAGACCATGAAGACATAACAGATTCCAGAGACGACGTCAACCTCAGGTGAGTACCCAACCTCCTTCATCCACAGATCCCGATCTTCCTCCTCCACGCAACCAGTCACCTCATGTAGACAGCGTGGACAGTGCCACGTCAACAGTCGAGATAGGTGGCATATGCCACATAATCAATGAAGACCAGTGGCAGCGCCACATCAGCATGCACTGTAAACCAGAGGCAGCGCCAGGTCAGCATGCAATGTAGACCAGAGGTAGTGCCACATCAGCATGCAATGTAGACCAGAGGTAGCGCCACATCAGCATGCAATGTAGACCA